GATGGATGGATGGATGGATGATGGATGGATGGGTGATGGATGGATGGATGATGGATGGATGGATGGATGATGGATGGATGGATGATGGATGGATGATGGATGGATGGATGGATGGATGATGGATGGATGGATGATGGATGGATGATGGATGGGCAGATGGATGGATTATGGATAGATGATGGATGGATGAATTATGGATGGATGGATAGATGGATGGATGGATGGATGATGGATGGATGGATGATGGATGGATGATGGATGGATGGATGATGGATTGATGGATGATGGATGGATGGATTATGGATAGATGATGGATGGATGAATTATGGATGGATGGATAGATGGATGGATGGATGGATGATGGATGGATGATGGATGGATGATGTCCTGTAAACACTGTAGGACCTTTGTTTCCTCTGCTCAGGTTTGTTGCAGTGTGTGAACCTCTCAGGTATCACTCCATCATGACTTCTGCTCGGCTCCACTCCAGCTGCTCTCTGGCCTGGATCGTGGACTGGTGCTCGTCCTCGTGCTCTTCTCCTTCCACATGAACGTCCCCCTGTGTGGTCAGACCATCCAACATGTCTACTGCAGCAACCGAGCCACCTGAACCTGGCCTGCATTCCAACCSCCGTAAACATCTACGGTCAGAACAATGAAGGTTGCTTTTTGTCTCTCTGCTTGACTTTAGCTCATAYCTGTGTTTTTATGTTCTGCAGGTCTGGTTCTAACCTGGTCTGTTAGTTCTGTAAACTTCATCCTCATCGCTTTCTCCTACATCAGAACACTGAGAGTTTTGTTGAAACAAGACCAAACTGACAGCTGCATCCACAGCAAGGCCTTTCAGACCTGTGCTCCTCACATCGTGGTCTACGTGCTCTTTCAGGTCGCTGCTTTAGTTGTTGTCATCAGTTCCAGCTTCCCCTCTCTTTCCCAAAACATAAAGAATTTTTTTTACCATCTTAGTTTTCATCATTCCACCCATTATTAACCCCATCATCTACGGCCTGGTCTGTAAAGACTTACGGTCCAGTTTCATTTAGTATTTCTCCATAAGAGTCAAACCCAAAATCTGACCCAATAACTTCACGACAGAGTTTCTGAGCTCATTTATATTTCTGTACAGTCATGAAATAATACATTTTTTTAGAAGCTCTACACTAATTAACAAAAACTGGTAGAGCACATCCGTCTAAAACATCCATCCATCCATCCATTTTCTGTACACGCTTCTTCCTTTTCAGGGTCGCGTGGGTCACTGGTACCCATATCCAGCAGTCACAGTGCGAGGGGCGGGGTACACCCTGGACAGGTCGCAAGTCTCGTCTAAAACATACACAAGTAATTTTATTTTATTCACACTGTTTCTMAAACCTGTGACCAGACTTCCCACCTTCAGCAGCAGATAACCACCCTCTCTACCATCAACTGATCTGTGACACCATTGTATCTGAAAGTCAGAAAAACCAGAGCACTTTTACCTGGACCTGCTGTGTYCTTCAGTCTTCCACAACATTTTTACTTTGGGTGAAAAGAAAATGATCCACAGGCTCAAAAGAGTATTTCCTTCATAACTAACTTATGGTTTCTACTCTGTGATCTGAGCATGCTAATTATTCAGAGTTATAGGGTTTAAAACAATTATTCTTATGAAATGTTGCACTTTTTTCTGTAAAATCCTTGAAATCCAGTCTTGAACTAAAAAAACAACCCATCATAAAACAAAAAAAGAATTTGTGATCATTTTACTTTGTTCTGCAATTTATTTCTTCAAATTTTACTGATGATAAAAATGTTTTAAGAAACCAGGGCCCGTATTTATCTAACTTCTTAGAATGACTCTTCAGAATGCTGCCAAGAGTGGACTTAAGTGTAAAATAATTCTTAGTTAAAAGCTGAGAGTAAAAGTCAGTTATCAAGCGTCTCAGTCTTACTTTAAGTGAAGTGTAGGAATAATTCTTAAGTGTCAGTCTTACTTTAAGTGAAGTGTAGGA